GATTTCATCCAATAACTCTCGAGGTAGATAACGGGTAGCACTTTTCACTGAAGCCATCTTATTCATACTTTTAATTTATTTTCCAGAGCGAAGATGTTGCGCCACAGTATCAACGAAGGGAGTTTATTTCTGGATTCAGTGGATCTCATGGTAAGGATGCAAATGAAGCTTACCCATAGAAAAACGCATCATAGGAGAGAGAACTATTCGTATACCAAGAAGAAAATAACAAGTCAAAAGAAAGAGTCAAACAAAAATGGGAACTGCATAACTGGATCATTTTCTCTTTCCATTATCTCTTTTCGACACTTTTATATAATAAATTTGCATATCTTCAGGGACCGCTATCATAACGTACGCAAAGGCTGCTCTCTGGACAGACGGAAGATATTTTCTTCAAGCAGAAATGGAATTAGACTGTAATTGGATTGTACAAAAAGAGGGTGAGTTATGATTTGCTTCACATCATATACAACTTTCATTATCATCATTGCCGATAAGTATCACATAGCGGCATTTCTATCCAAGCAGGAAGATAGAATTATTAACATTTAACGCCTAACGTTTACCATCTTCATTTACATCATGATTACGCTTAAGCACCACATATATCGACATTACTAACCTCACAGTATGCGGTAATTTTGGCACGATGGACTTATTTACTACTAGTTAAAGGACCTAGCTTGGCACAAGTCCCCTATAGCTTGGTGGAAGAGCGTCCTAAGTCCTTAAGAGAATTTCGTTGATTGGACTCATTTTTAGCATCTTCTTTTAAATAACTTATTGTTCCTTTGTACGAGCTATCAACATTATCTGCATTGGAAAATTGCAGAGGTTTCATATCTCAGGGATTTGACGCTTAAACTGGTGACGTGCATATTTACTTTTTAGACTTTTTACGTTGAAATTGAAAGGTCAACAAGGTATGAGGGATCATATTTTAATTACAATAGGAATGAAAGGGACTCCAAGTCTTTCCCAATGGCTACTTGACGTGAGTAACAGTTTTATATTGATTTGAGCTACAAAGGTCAGTCCTTTCAGCCCTTCATTGGAATTATCTCTCCGAGAGATTGAAATGAGGTCGTTTATTCAAAAGAGCAAGTCAAAAAAATAGATGAAGGACCTAGGATATAGGATATTATTTCAACGTAGTCTTTTAACAATTTTAACCATTTCAGAGCCTGCCAAAGGGGTCCAGCGTGGGAGTTGATCCTTTTCTTATTTCCGTGTGTAAGTTGCCTTTGTTTTTGATGTTTTACACAATATTCGAACATTAGAAAGATGGCTTTTGTTTGGTTAAGAGGGTGAAAATTCCACTTTATAGCAAAATAAAGCATTACAAATTAGTATGATAGAATAGGAAAGGAAGATTTATGTAGATTTTGATCTTCGAAGACTCTCACTTAATTTTGCCCCATTCCCGTGACAAGAGAAATAACATCCCGTTCATTTCACGACCTAGCTCAAAATTTATCATTTTTCTTACTCTACTTAGTATTCTACCTAGTACTCTAATCGGTGTAATCGATATGTATTGTAGAGAGAAAGGCGAAAGTTCTGCTTGCGAAAAACGGTGCTTTCTCACTTGCACGTTTTGATAATTTTTTATTCATAGTTTGTCAATCAATTTGTCTTTAGAAGCTTAGTAAGCACGGTACGGAAAAGAAAGAAAGACAGAACTAGATAAACCCCCGCTGGATTTTTTAATGAAATGTCGCAGTATCGTAGGATAATGTCCGTTTCTGAAAGGTTTATCAAAAGTTCTCAGTTGTTCTCAGATATTCGCGTTTAAGCCAAATTTTAACTCTCGGAAAGTACTTAAGGCTCGAACATAGTTCATCCCAGTTACATTAGCCCACAGAAGGGGTTAATTTTTTACTAACTTTACCACGAGTAGCATACAAAAATTAAGTTAGTTGCAAAATCTGGTAAAGAGGAGTGTTATCCTAGGTTTTAATTATGGTGGATTTTCCTTTTTCCCCTGAAACAAGGCGGAAAAATAGAAAAATCACTACCAAATGTAATTATATTCTGTGTGAATCAAGAGTCAATTTACATCTTTATATTAGGATTTACTCGAAATATCAACAGTTTTTTGAACGTTCTACTGCTTGAAAAGATTGTGCACATAATTTGTCTCGGACAGAAGTTTGATTCATTCTCAAACCACAAAATTTGTTCCCGCACAACGCGAAAACCTTGATTTCCAATCCGCAAAACAAAACTCCTCCAACCGTTTTCATTTAACGCGGAATTCCAGTATGTATATTACTGTCGCTTTGTGTTCCCTTCTCAATCAAGCTTTAGATGGCCATAGAATCGAAGTGAATCGGTATCTTTGTATCGTAATGAGGCCTACAAATGCGCAGTTCATAGCCATAACAATTAACAACTACAACTGTACGTAAGCATATAAATGTATGACATCATCTTAATTTTCCCGTGTCGGTTGAATCACTGCAGGTGAGTGGGATCGAATGTTTAAGGTAAAGTTGAATATTTCTTTTAATTGACTTTGGATAGCTGAATAATGAGGTGTCTATAAAGGATGGACCAAACCAGGTGCTCTCCGAAACAAACCATGTATCCTTCCCCTCGAAAAAAGGACACATTCTTCAAAACAAAAACAACAACAACAACAAAAAACAAAACAAAACAAAGCAAACCGGAGCGCAGTAACAGACAAATTTCGTTAGGGGCCAAAGGTAGTTATGACATTCGTGTGCTTTATTGCTTTAATCTAGTCAATGTTTGCCCCATTGTCTATACAAAAAAACTAATTATTACTTCTTTCTTTCAAGGAACGATTTAAGTGAATAACTGTAGCATAGAGCTTAGCTCAAAGTTTTTCTCCAGTTACCGTTCATTACTTTTTTTGCAACATTGTGTAAGACTTTGTCTTAGAACTGTATAGTTTAAAATACCGGGTTGTTTCTCTCTTTACAGACATCAGAATGAACTTAAGCGAGATTATTATGAGTTTACTAAGGCAATTTCATGTCACCAGGAGCTCAAGGAACATAACATTGAATTGATTCCTGTCACACAAAACCTGGTTGATCTTGTTTGGCCATCCAGACCACAGCCACAACCAAGGAAGTTGATTGTCCTCGATATTTCTTACTCAGGTATGGCATAAAAAACAAATTAGTAATTACACTAAAACGAGAAAATAATCGGTGCTGGGTGGGCTAGTAAAAGAAAGCGACATCACACCGTCTGGGTAGGTCTTTTATAGCTTCCCCTCAAATCAAACTCACTCATAAAGAAAATAAAATTCACGGGTTTTAAAAAAGCCGTCTCCGGGTGATAAAAGAAAAAAACGAGTAAGCAAAAAAAATAGACACGAATCTGAGTGACAAGTATTGTTAAGAATCATATTAAGATCAAGTAAAGGATTTTCTATAACCAATGAAGGCGGCGGTGAACTCCTACTGCAGATATCATTTCCGATATACCATTGTTTATTTTGAGTGTAACGGTAAAAATAGAATTCTTATATCAACCTCAGGTAGAAGTTGGCAAGATAAAATCATAGCCTTACGCGGGTTCCTGAAGGCCAGGTCAGCGACTGCCGTTGTAATCGAAAAACTGGATGAAATAGCGTGTAAGTATTTGTTAATGTACGACGAAAGCCGAACAGACATATTTTGATGAAATTGCTTCCCGATTTTCGGTATGAGTGTTGGAGCCGCTAATCAAGGGCAAAGGGCTGTCTTGTTTAAATGCAACCCATTCTTTAATTCAGGCAAAGGTAAATATGATTTCTCTCTCACTAGTTTCCTTTCGATTCCACGAACTTGTTTATAATTCCTTCCTCTATTTTTGAAATCACTTTATCTTAGTACTTGTACACCAGGAAGTACATTTCTCCTTTTATCCCAAATATTAATTTACTGATATCCACTGATGTATAAAATGTGGTGAATCGATAATTTAGCTGACAAAGTTCCATTTTTCTAAGGAGACCTCAATATTGTACCATCCAGTAAATTATATTTACAACTGTTTTCTCAGGGCTTTTGAATCTCCGAGGATTTGATAACAAGTATACCCCAGTTTTCTTCTCCTATGTTACAGTTACAAAGGACAGTGCCTCGTAAGTAACATCTCTCATTTCTTCTTATATCTGGCGGGGTCATTTCCTCCTAAGAGATTTGATTTAAGATGGGTCGGCTACTGTCACAGTAACATGAAGCAAATGACAAAATAAATCAGTGCCTTTTAAACCAAGAACAAAACAAAACAAAGAAAAGTAAAAGAAAAAACCAATTGAAATACTTTGGTAACATTATAGTAGTAAAAGGCAGTCAAGATTTTTAAAAGAGGGTTCAGACAGAAGTATTTTATTGATATTGAAGATATTACCAGGCTATCTTATCACTGTAATAAAAAGCTTTTTCTCGTGAGAAGGTCACTTTCACGTTACGCCTCATCGTTACGTGGGATTTTCGTTTTCCTCTTAAGTGAGTTCAATTTAAAATATCTTTATTGACATCATCGATGTACCTAAAAATTCACAACTCTCTTTTAAACCACCTTACGCTAATTTGGATGTTTTTTCACAATTTCTTGATTTGACTGGCCTCCCGCATTTGCAGACTGTTCATAGATAATGACAAGGTGACGCCATCTGTGAAAAGACATCTGAAAGTTAAAAATTGTAAAGGCCGGAATGAAGAGCACCTGTGCGTACAACTTAAGCCATATGATGCTATCAAGGAAGTTGTGAAAACGCTAGCCGAATGCAAAACTGCTAAAATATTGGTAAGTAGAGCCACGACCAGCCATAAAAGGCTTTCTGCCAAAACACTTCACGTTACCGGGATAACTCAGTAAGTTTCCATATGGTGTTACAAACAACTGTAGAGAACTGCAAGACTTGAAAATGTTTGTTGCATTTTCTTGTTGCATTCTTATGCTGACACGCATAACTAACCATAATCGATTGCAGGATTGTTCTTTTTTTAGTCTTTTTACCGATACAAGTTGTATTGGTAAACCTCGGTTGTCTTTATGAACTCAGGTTAGCACATCCTCAAGCCACGGAATAAGGATGAAGATTCCCAAGGTCAGCATTTGAACTCAATCGATATCTATTTTAAAGAGTCGCACCTTAAAGTTAAACCAACGCCGAACATCAAACGCACACAGTTATATGTATCCGTGCGTCAGTAATTTTATGTGTAATGAGTATGTTTTTACTGCTGGACAAATTTATCTAACAATTAGTTTATTCATTCAGGCAGAGGGCCACTAAAAATTTCCAATTAACCGTTCAATGTCTGAACAAATCCACTTCCCATAGACGTTTACTTAGACTGGTTCATTCTTTATTTTTTGGGTAATTTCGTATTTTTTCTCGTAGCTGTTTTAATTCCGAATTTGTTAATTCTTGAAACCGAAAACTAACCCGTTCCCAGCTCGTTTACCATCGGCTCTTTCATTTTCCAGGTTCTCTAATCGCATACTAAGAAGAATTCATACTATAGTTAGTAATGTGTTTTTATGCATTAATCTTATCGTCATTTTTATCATTCCTTTTTTTAAGCAACATTACACCACTGTGCAAGATTCATTGGCTACCTATTAAATACCGCATAGCACCCGACTATGTTTGTAATCTTATTCATCGTAAAATTTCTGCTAAATATGAGCTTAGGTCCAATCAAAAGCTTCTGCTGGAGGGACCTGGTTGCAAAATGCTACCCACATTGGGAGCAAAGGCACTTTCCTCCTTTGTTCCGTATGTTTGACATCACTGGCCATGAATCTTTACCTACTTTTGAAGGTAGTCTTAAGACTTACCTTTTTAAACATGTACCTCGACTTTTTTTGTTCCTCTAAAGCACATTTGATAATACTTACCTGGAATTTGCTCTATAAATATTTTATCATCATTATTATATTATTTTTTTAGGAAAATTTGTTAATAGACGAGTCGCCAGTTGCTTTACCAAAAGCAATAAAAAATCCAACAGAAATTCGTGGAATGAAAAATGCCAATGTAGGTACTTTCCTAATAGCAAAAAGTAGTAACGTCTTTTAGTAATGATAATCTCTCTCTAAATATTTCTGAGAATCAAGTAGCCTGTGCGTGTACAATTAGATGAGACGGTTATATTTTTTTAACGAGTGTTGCTTTAACATGCCAGAACCTATTTATTTGGCCTTGCAGGTAAAGGATTGCGCGGCGCTTTGTCAGTTCTTTGCTTGGATTGAACGTGAGGTATTAAAAGGGCTAAGGGTTGGTTTCTTTTTAATGGGCTTCTTCTACTTTTTAGTGGTTTTCAGTGGTCGTGGTAAAATCGTGAAAACTGAAATGCTAGGTCTTATTTCAACTTTGTTCGAACCATTTTCAGAGTTGTTTGATCTCCATAAGCAATGCCACGAAAAGTTGGCATCTACTGAACACTATTCAAATGCTTCCCTAAATCAAGCTCATCTAACATAAACGGACGAAATATTCCTCAACAACAAAGAGAGAGCTTCGTTCTTTGACTCACATAAGTTTGATTAAATTAGTAATTTTGAATGCCAGACTCCAGAACATATCTACACACGGTAACACATCAACATCATATGTTATGAACTTATTGTCTATTTGAACTCTTTGACTGTCTAACATATTTATTTCTATTCAGAAATATCGATAGCTTCATATTTTTCGTAATTAGGAAATACTTACTAACCTAGTTGGAGGTCCGAACCGTAGGTAACAGACCGAATTTTTTACCACTTTTGACTTGAGCAATCAGCGCGAAGCACGCTGGGCATAAATCATGGGGAAACGGAAAAACGAGGATCCCTAACTTACCGTTGGGAACAACAATAACAACAAAAAGACAGGTTATTAGGAAGTTTATTACATCTCTTCAGTGTGTCTCGATAGTTGAGAAACAATTAGAGTGATGCGAAACGGCGTCAAATGACTGACAAGAGTAAAAATGATCGAAACAAGCCAATTCAATTTTTGAATTTTCATTTTTCCACTGCGGCTAAGTTAACTGGAGATAAATCAGACATAACTATGACTGAAATCAAACTGAGCTTAACGGTTAATGTCTACAATACACATTTTAATTTGGCGATTGTACTAGATGATGGTAGCGAATACTAGCCCATACTAGGTTTAATTTTCCGTTTCAGAATTTAGTTATTACTCAGTATTTATCGCTATTTTTGCAGATTTCATTGAATTCTACAAAGTTGACAGAATTGACGACTGAGGCAAAGTTGTTGTACTTTAGAACGTAAGAGAACTATCATATGAAATAGCGAAATGAATTACCTCAGGTTTGATGATGCTTTTTGCATGAAACGAATTGTTTAGACTTCTTTTTTAGTTTTAAATATTAATTGCAGCGCGGCGCGATCAGCGTTCTTTCGTGTGACCTAAATAGTCTATCTTTAAATAGAACTTGCAAATTTATACCTGCAGGATCTTCCAAAAATTTTAATAATTCTTAAAAACTTTTTTCGTTAAAGGCTGGAGAAGAATTTTATGAGTCCAAGTTTTGCTACAATTTCTGGCTTTGGACCCAACAGCGCCATAATCCATTACAAGTAGGTCCAAGATATGTAAAAATTTAGTTATTTAGAGCTGGTTGACTGTCTGATTCAGCTTAACCTTACCAACTGACAAGACGTGGGGATGATTTAGTGGCGACTGCGCGAATTGTGTCATAAGTAAAGAAAGAAATGCAAAAAAACAAAATTAACTACTGGTGCGTGAAAATCAATTAGTTAACAAATAGAGAAGCTTTGACTGTACTCTGTTCTGTTGTAAAGCATGCAGGAAGCGCGAAAGAAGTGTAGGGGGAAACACCGGACGAAGTCGAGTGTTTCTCCGCACTTTCTGAAGTTTCTTACAAATAGGTATAAATATAGTACAAATTGGCACACGGCGTGACAGCTTTAGCTCAGCTCCATGTTTTGTACTCTGATAAAGCACGCACTTTCAATCAATGACAGTGTGCATTATATCCGAGCTTCATTTTAACGCTATATAATGTTAAGTACTTACTTCGCGCTTGTAATTTTTCTTTTTCTTTTCACCGTGCTGAACAATCAACATGGTACACCCCAAGGAAAAAAAACGTGAGATGCTTTAGACGATCTAACGATCTCACCACCTTCTTTTTTTAATCCGTCGACAGAGCAAATCAATTTACTAACGCTCGGATCGACAAAAGCAGTGTTTATTTGTTGGATTCAGGAGGACAGTACTTGTAAGCTTTCCTGGCTTTTTGTTTTCCCAAAATAATTGTACTTATTGACTGAGTGGGAGGCCCGGACGGGAAAATATTTGGCTCTCGGTCATGACGCACGGACCGAGCGAGGTCCGTGCGTCATGACCGAGAGCCAAATATTTTTCCGTCTGTCCCGACCAAACTTATTAAATGACCATTTTATCATAGACCACCAAACGCTGAAAATTTTCAAAATTTTGTTTTGTGACGTGTTTATAGTAGACTGCCGCAAGGGTAGAAGAAAGGTTCTGTCATTTCCCTTTTTACCGAAACGAAGCGTCCGCGTTAAAAACAGTTGGGATATCTCACGATGAACTAAAGCCAAGATCTTTCTCCAAAATCCTTTTTCCATTCGTCTTACGCATTGGAGTAGTTAGGAATATAATGTTGTTTCTCCTTGCTGTACGCTAGACGCGCGTTCGGAAATCCCTCTTAAAATTGTTTTCAAACTCTCGTGCAAGCGCAGTGTTTGACCGCTGTGTTCAACGCGTCTGGCCCTACAAAAGTCGGCTTTTACTATGGCTTTCTCTGAGATTGCACCCGCGGGGCCATACGGGTCATACGATGCGTACATATTGTGTTAAAATACAGTTTTCAGATTCATACGAATGACTAAGTTGTTTAAAAAGTTTCTTTAATGTTCTTTTATTGGCCCAGAGATGGGACAACAGACACAACAAGGACGGTTCATTTTGGAGTTCCAACCAAACACCAGAAGGTTAGTGCTACATTTTTACCTTTGAAAACACTTTTTTCAACGTTTCCCTTTCACCATGGGATGGACATGATAGGCCAACATATCAAGGTCCCTGTCAACCTAAACGTGTTCGGAAATGCGATTGTTTAGTGCAGGAAAAGTCGTGTATATGTCAACTAAGACCCAGCCTTATCATGGAGGTTACCTCAGAGCACAGCATCCATGAACTTCATTTTGTAGTAAGTACCTATTAGGTTTACTTTTTTTTTTAACTTTATCATTCTTGCTCAGTCAACTTGACAATGGGGTCACGATGGCACCGACAACTTCTCTTTTCTGGCCTGTTTTTCACCATTTGCTTGACTATTATTAGTATTATTATTAGCATCGTAATTACTACTACCATTCTTATCAGACATACACCGTCATGCACAACGTTTTTTCTTCTCATGACTAAGATAATGAATGATGGCAATTTCAGGATTGCTACACAAGAGTCTTAAAGGGACATATTGACATTGCCAGTGCAGTTTTTCCCAATGACACGTATGGTGAGAAATGTTTATGTCCTGTATTTAGTCCTGTTTATGTTTGAAGCCCGAAAATTTAATAAGAAAGAAAGGTGCACACACATTTTATTCGCTGATTTAACCTTTAATTCGAGCGGATATTTTGTGAGTTACCTCGTATTTTTCCAAACACCTTGGTGCCCCTCTTGAGACTTCTCGAGAATCGTATCGAATGCGTGCGTCCAAGACCGCTGCTTAATTATGTTCTATAATATGGTTTAATGGCTCAATAGAAATTTTATTTTTTCCTAACGATCGATAGGTTTATCTAACTTTTTGAAATTCTTACATCTCTTATCTGATGTAAAAGGTTGTTCTTTTTCGGGATATGGCTAACTTATTTTGCCATTCGTTGGTCAGTTGTGGTCGAACTCAGACAATGAGCGTATTTTACTGTAAATATTGTAGAACAGCGAAAAAGGAGATTGCTGTTAATTACAATGTTCAAAGGACCGAGCGCATGTTTAAAACACTTCCTAATAGGAAGTCAGTTCTCAGTACATGTCCATATCCACACAGATTTGGGTCCAAATTGGATTTTGTTTCTCCCACAGTTGATAAATTAGTTTTTACTTGACTTGGCTTTTTGGTTTTTACAGGAGAATGTATCACATAGCCCCGTTAAAAAGTATGAAAAGTTTATGGCGGCTTTGGCAGGGGAAGTTAGTTTTGTTTTCCCAATAGTTTCAGGAGAAATGAAACTACTCTTTTTTTTGGGTCCAGACATGACATTATAATGAACTCGATATACTCCCAGGTCGACCCCTTCCACTGCCGAGTGAGAGTATTAGCCTCTTAGTGATGCAACCAAAATATTTTGGTGGAACTATGATTAAATCTAATCCACTGAATAGCTATTCTGAAATTAAGGTGTTCATAAAATGAACGTCGCGTAATCTTTAGTGGCCTTCGATTTTAATAGGAAAAGACAATAACGACAAAATGTTGAAATGGAAAAAAAGAAAAGTGCTTTGAATTTACTTGCGTGACTGACTGTAACTCTCGTTTGGCTTAGAGAAAATTATAGAATAATCCCCCGACTCTATTTCAAAAACAGCAACGACAGTATTCGAAGGAAAATTGTCAGATACAGCTGACATAAAATGATCTACACTCCTCTTGTGGAAGAATCACCACCTGACACGTTTAATAAAGACTACTTTCGCTCATCAACGAGAAAATGCTGGGTTCCCTAATTAGAATTTAGACTCAACTGTCGATTCAGTTACTACATCGTATACATTTCCGATTGGAGTATTAAATTCATTTAGCGGCGAAATTCATGAAAGTTAGGAATAAATACCGAAACGACTGTATGTGGACATGACCGAGTCTTAATCGAACACTTTGTCTTCGTTTTCAAGGAAGGACATTAGATGTGTTTGCACGACAACCTCTTTGGAAAGTGGGGCTGGATTATCGACATGGCACGGGACACGGAATAGGACACTTCCTAAACATTCACGAGGGTACCCTATCTTAGACACATTTAGTATTATTGTATATTCAGATAAGCGTAGAGTGCTGGCAGATTATGGATTAATGATTAATGATCCTATCAAATATCTCAAATTTTGAATTTATTTCCATCAGGTTGAACGTGTACAAATTTAGCCAACGAAACCTGCATAGTTTGAAGTTTTTACATGAGTCAACGGCGGTACCTGCGACAAAAATGGTGCGAAGAAAATTGTGACCTTTGCAACTCCTTTTCACTGCTCCGCCATCTTCATTTTTCATCTAATATCCTCAGCTACGCTAGCTAGAGGGAACTGACCTTCAAAGGCACATACTGCAAAGTGAAAAAGTTTTTTATTAGTCGTGCGAAACAGCGAAATTAATGTCCTTTCCCCCTCTCCTTTAACATCATGTAGTACTAGATACACAAATGAATTAGCCTCCGTTGTTACACTGGGATTTTCAAATTCACGCTCGGCGTCACAATCCATAATCTGTAAATCGTTTAGCCAGGATTTAAACGGCCTTCGGTTTCAGAGGGAATCTCAAAATTACATTATGCCTTTTTGCGGGGACGATGACTGTTTCTCTGATGAGAGTTTGATTGTATTAGAGAAAATAGAGGGGACCCTCTACCGACTCTGATCTGATGCACAGTTGTTAATGATTCATTAACTACCTTTAAATCATCGTTACAATTCTCGTGCAGGACCCCAGTGTATAGCTCCAGGATTTCCTATCGAAGACGAGAAAATTTTAATGCCTGGAATGATTTTATCTGACGGTAAGAGTCACATAAATGTGACGTAGTGTTGCTAAAGTTATATCGAGGCATTAATACAAACAACTGTGAAAAGAAGCCCGGAAAAATTTAGGCTTCGACGGGATTCGAGTGCATGCCTCCAAGACACTGGTTGGGCGCAATCACTATCAGGACTGAGCCGTTCGAAGCCACATGTTGTACATGGTAAAATTTTAAGTAATTCTGAAATGCTATCGAAAGACGACCTTCATGCATATGAAATGTTGATTCTTTAGACGCTTTACTGTTTCTGATATGAAAATATGCATATATTTATCCAAAAAAGAACAATCCGATAACGATAAAAAACCCAGGTGCGATGATATGTACCTATTGACTGAGTGAGAGGACAGGACGGGACAAGGTCCTGTTACCAATCAATCATAACTGTTATAATTTTCGAAAAAAACAAATACATTTAAGACAAACATCTCCGGTACAGACAATGTCTAAAGTAAAAATCCCTTCATTTTGAAAATTCCCCTGTCTTTTTTAGGATTAGTGATTGTTGCTCTGGTTTTTGTGATCAATTCTGTGATTAGCGAATTTATCTGACTGGACTTGAGGCTGTTGCGTTCGTTTTTTCTGTTTATGCAGTGTTACTTATATTCTAACGCTAAAACAGAAAGTGTGAGAATAAAGTTTTTTGCTTCATTTCCAACACAATTTTATGCAAAAAGTTGGCACCCTAAATTAACTCCATTCGATAAAAGTCTAAGGAATAGGATTATTCTTAAAAAGAATCGTTCAAGTGCTACCAAAATCACTTTCGAAATCCATTACCTTAAATTCCATTTAATGACGACTAATTGATAGAAACTTAACTTTAAGTACGGATAGTTTCTTACACTGTTATTCGACCCAACACATTGCTCATTCTCATTTTCTGGACAAAATATAAAGTTTATTGCTTCGCAATCAATGCTTCTTTTTAGTACATTATGTAGAAGTAAAGAGCACTTTTCGCGGTCGAAAATTGGCTGGTTCAGTGGTGAAATACAAAGGATCATTCACCTCCGAGCATTTATTCCCTTAGAACCGGGATATTATGAAGATGGTCGCTTTGGAATTCGACTTGAAACAGCTGTCCTTGTGAAAGTTGCCAAAACAAAGGTCAGAAAAGATTAACTTTCTTTTTCCCTCAAAAGTAGTTATAGTCGGGTCTTGGAAATGTTGGTATCATAAGAACTCTAATTTAGTACAAGTCTTGGAAAAAGTAGAAAAACAAACGCAAATGTAAAATATTGGCTACCATATCTCCCTGTTTTTGTAGCTTCTCTAAAGCAGTGGAAGTTCACAGGTTTGTATCTCGCAAACTTTTGCTATCTTAACTTAAACTCATCTTCATTCATCGACCACGTTGCAGGAACGTGTGCAATAGAGAATTGGTACAAATCCGCGCTTTCCTTTACTCTAAACATTTTTGCCATTATCTCATTGGTGATCGCGTGGTCTCGCATAAATCTCAACGTATCCCGCCAGGGTTGCATTTCATCAAATGCTCCCCTGAACTGATCGAAAACACCATAACCGTTGAGACTTGCTTGTCACTCCCTCACCCTTTCGCCCCGTGGACCAAACATCTAATCTGCAACCGACTTCCCTGGGATTAAATAAGCTCTAAGATAACATAACACGTGTGAAAAGCTTTCCTTTTGCAGTAACAAGAGGGTGTTATACTTTTGAAGAATATCTTATAAAAAATTAAGAGTTGTAAGTAGAGTTAAGCGATATATTTTTGATCTATCAGAGTGCGTGTAATGTTATAGAAATGTGAAATGGTTGTCAAGTGTTATAACTTTCTTTTTTCAGCGTAGTAATACGATGTAAATTTCCTTCTTGTATTTTGAACAGTATCATTTCGATGGAGTGGACTATCTTGAGTTCGAACCAGTAACATTTGTAAGTACTCCGCCCTGTAGACAACTAAGCAAATGTCACGTTTTTCCTGTACTTCTTCTCACATGATTTATTTTTCTCGTCCTTCCTTGTTTGTCATAGCTTTTTCGATTGTGAGTTATTTGTTTTGCAAATATGAACGGAATCAATTGTAGCTCTTTCATTGCAAAAATGAGTCTGATTTTTTTGTAACTACCATTAAGTAACGTCACTTGTTTATGTGGTCCATTTATTGGTTTGCGGAACCAGCTATTTCAGTGGGCCGCCCATACAATTTTTGCTTATGCATTTTCTGGTTTGACACGCTGAAAATCATAACTCGTGAATATTTGAGGTCAGTCAGAAAGAGAGAGGAAATGACAGTTCTGGGAGAATACAAAACCAAGCATAGAAAAAATGTTTTGGGTCAAGCCCGGACCACTTTTTTTATCCTTGGTTTTGCATTGTCCAAGAACTATTATTTTACAATTACTACTGAGTTAAGCGCAGAAATCTCAAATCATAATTTTTTGAACTAGTCAATCTTCAGAATCAGAACAAATTTAGATAAATTCAATAATTCGATAGGATCAGCATCAATGTCGTGTCTTCTCGCAAAGAAGTCGTGATGTGCTTTGATTTGTTCTCCTGTCAAAACAGTGTCTCTATAAATGGGAAGTTGTCTCATTAATAGGTCACGCGTACGCTTTCAAGCTTACGGTTAATGACGTTGAGCTGACATCTGAGAGGATAAAGATGTCACATTTTACATTCCCTGAGCCTGACGCTTTCCCGTTAATTACTAGCTGAACTCCTTCTTTCTTATTCACCAATCTCAATCCACTTCCACTAACAGCACTGTCTCTCATACTCCTGAGATCGATGAAAAGAGCGAATCTGTCTCCAGCATAAAAGTCTGTTGCATTTATCGTGCCGTTTTCCTCTTCAAATCTTCTGAAGAGCTCTTCCCACCTATCTCTTGTCTCCATTCCTTGACTGTAAACCTTAATTGGGATTCCATTGACGATCACTTTCACTTCAGTGATTTCGGGATTAGCACCAGCGACATATGGCTCATATAAAAGAAGTCCCTTCATTGACCTCCCTGAAACACCGATGCTCTTATTGATGATCGTTTCTGATCCCTTATCTACTAGGACTGTCTTGAGATGAGTTACGTGCACGTACACGAATCTCTTTCCATTTTTTCAGTTAGACAAGGCTTCATCAGCGGGTTCTTGACTGTGAATGACGTCTTACTAAAGCTGTATGTTATTCAATTCATAGGCGAGCTGAGTCTCGTCAGATCCTATCACAACATTGCTGGCAGGTGGAAGCCTGAGTTCGAAAAGAAGCTCATCAGAAAGAGCTCTTGGGAAGAACACTCCATGATCCTTCAGAATCTCACGATTCAATGGAATCCTATATTTGTTCCGATAGACATCACTGAGCTTATTCTCCTTGTCAATTCCTGATTTCTTCTTATCTTCAGCACTGCATCTGATCTTCGAAAGATCAACAGACTGAATACCCCCTCTGAACATACTTGCTATCTCGTTCTCAGTCAAGAAGAGGTCCTCATATAGCTTGAATGGATCATAACCATCGGTGTCCTACACGATTTCTCCTGCGATTTTCACAGTCAACCTGTGAACAAGAGCTCTTGCGACATTTTTCACAATATAATTGTTGGCATGACCACTAACTGCCAAGTCAAAGATGAGTGAGCGAGATCCTGGCACAAACACAACACAGTCATTAAAAGGCCCTGCGCCTAAGAAACGACCGATGATTTCTGGCTAAAAATTAAAATCGGCCGATTTTTATCTTCCAACTAGAGGTTACCTAATACTATTTAAAAATGAAGTTCTTTTGCTTCAGTTTCGCTTTAAACCAAAAATATCCAGCCGCGAACTTGCTACGTCTAATTGTAGCAAAATCTGTCCCAAAATATGCCTTTCAAAAACCAGTTCAAAAATTACTATCGCAACACAAAATAATGAGAAAACTACGCAGTTATGAAAAAAAGGCCTTTTAATGCAATATCATTCGACAAACATCGAAAAACTGCAGAAGCGAATGAAAAATAAATTTTCAAATATTGCTTATCAATTAGATGGAGCGTTGGAGATGATTTTAAAATAATTATTTCTACCAAATCCAACGCTGTTTAAAGCAATCACAGTGATCAATCAGACATTAGAAGGATATACATTACGTTTCTGGAAAAACATTTTTCGGCCAAAGTATATTGACCTCGTACGAAGCGTTCAAAGTTGCAGTGTTTACCGTTATGTTGCTACTTCGGCGAAACACTTCTCTGTTGCCCATACGTCCATGGATAGCGTGGTAAATGTCACTTTTAACCTTGCTAGGCGCTCAAATACCATCCTAAATAGAATGATATGGTATTAAAAGAGAAAGGAAGATGAAAAATAGGTAGAAAAAGAAAACAATTTACATTTACATTTTGAACGCTTCGACGACAATGAACAAGGGAGAATAAAAAGCATCAAAAACTGCTTATTTATCTTTCACTGAAGGCGAATCAGTTACAAAAGTTGCACTCAGATGCGCTCGGGAAAAATCTTTATTTGGAATACCCAGGCAGAAAACCTACTATGCTCAGAGTTGAAAGAGGAAGAGTTTATCCAGTTTCCGATGCTTTTAGCAAGAAAGCTCCAGGTAGTACATAAAAAACAAGTGCGAGGGTTTGATCGTGGTATCCAAATATCGAGCTTTTATTTGTTTGAATTACGCGATCAAACGCGAAGCACGAGTTTTTTAGATTGCTTCTCAAACTGCCTAGATTAACTAGCACCTAAATCGGAACACTATTGTTACATACTTTCTATTGGTTGCATAATTTTGGACATCATTATCAGCTACCGTTCATCTTTTGTCTCTTTGGGTTTCTTGGAGGACTTCCAATTGTATTCTAAATTTATGGTTTTATGGTTTTACTCATTAAGATAATTGCTCCGTGGTTAGTCGGAGCTTGATTATGGCAGAAACTAATGCAGTTACCGTTCAATTCAAAGAACCTCTCAGCAGCGAAAAATGTCAACATATCAGGCTCGTGAGCTGTTCTTTTTTTCAACACGTGGTTTAATTTGAAGCGAACCGGATAAATCTCTGTATTCGATTCCAAGAGCACTGCAACTGTAAGAAGAATTTCAGAAAGTAATTATTCACCCAAAAGCCTTGGCCAAGCTCTTCAAGATACATTAGAGAGTGAGGGAGTGAAGGTTGAAATGAATACTCCGAAAGGAGAGGTGGAAACCCACAATCCTCAAAACATGACAATGATCTGACTGATCTTCTCAGAGTTAAACGACGTTTGCAAGCCATCAACGTAATCAAAAGGTTTACATCATTTACCAACTACTTCGTCCACTGTGATCTTTTGGATATGAATGAAAACGTATTCAATGGAGAACCCTCAAGCGTTCTTGGATGCTTCGACATTGTCGGGCAACCCTTTGATAGGGTTAACAATTATTCGGAAATACCAACCCAACGGAAAATATCACCGAGGAATTACAACTCATCTATGCGAATTTTCGTGACCGATGAGAATAAGGAGATCATTAATTTCAATGGCCTTACTTTTTTTGAGTTGCAAACTATTAAATGGTTGAAAATGTATTCCGAAAATATTTTTCGAAGCTATTCGGGTCAGGGCTGCTTTATGACCCAAGCCCTTCGTGCTGAAGCTCTTCGGAATTGATTGATCTACTAAGAAATCAGGACAGACCAATTCCTCTGCCGAGAACGAAAAAGATTTAAAAACCAATTCTTTAACTCCAAGACAGAAAGAGAATAGGATAAATCGATTAAATAAGAACTTCAGAGAAGTAAACCGCAAACTTAAAAATGATAAGAAGAAGAAACGAAATATTCTGCTTATAAAGCAGAAAAAGTCACACGAAGATGAGGTGAATGAACTTAGAGATAAACACAGCCTTCTCGCTCAATCGACACTGTCATACGCACAAAATTTGTAGCTTTAAATCAGCGAGTGTGTTGAAAAGTTTTATCAGGCAATTTAGGATTGAAGGTGTTGAAGATCCTTCGGATCCAAGCCCCAGAGGGCCTTTTCCCAAGGGGGCAGTTTGCGGAGCGGCAGGTTTTAGATGGAGAGAATTCATGGAAAAAGTCAAACCAAGTCTTGAAGATAGTGAGAGACAACCATCAGACTAAAATTAAGATTTCAAAGAGTGATATCACTTGACATCCATCTTGCGGAATACAGATCATTAAACGGAAGCTCTTACATCAAACTCCCAGGTTATTTTCAAAGGAAGAAAGTAATAATAATTATCAAGAGCAAGGATGATCAATACTTCAAGTGGTGTATAGCAGAGCACTTAATCGTATCAAGTCATACCCTAAGAAGATTTCAGACTTGAAAGGAAAGACAAGCCAATTGAATTTCAAAGGGATTGAATTCCCTGTAAAATTGAGGGATACTTATAGGTTCGAAAAATGAGGGTATCACGGTTTTTATTTTATTTTATTCTTGAAAGCTTGCAGAAAACATCAAGAAGATTTCTAAGAAACCATTTCACAGAGAAGTATCGTGGTGTAGTTAATAACAAATGTAAGCTACAATTTAAGAAGCCGAAGTTCACTCCGGTCATCATTCACAACTTGGCTGGTTATGATTCCCATCTATTCATCAAGAATCTCGATAATATTCGAGGAAATTACTTCTTCTCTCGATAAATTAGTGAATAATTTGAGTCATGATAAACTGAGACATACCAGGAAAGTCTTGAAAGCCTTCGGCCAGGGCCCGTAGGGGCAGGCCTTCGGCCGGGCCCGTAGGGGCAGGCCTTCGGCCAGGCCCTGAAGGGTCAGGCAGCGTAGCTGCAATCAAGTTGGTCTTAAGGAAGGGTGTGTACCCATATGACTACATGAACAGCTTTGATAAATTTCATGAAATAGAACTGCCCCCCAGGGAAGAGTCCTATTCAAAGCTTGGTTGGGTGATTACCATGACCTTTATCTCAAACTAGACGTTCTCCTTCTTCCAGATGTGTTTGAAGAGTTCTGGAACGTCTGTCTCGAGAATAATGCGCTCGACCCTGCCTGGTATTACACCGCTCCTGGACTGGCTAGGGATGCTGAGTTGAGCTTGAGCTATTGGGTGACCCTGGCATCCTGCTGATGGTTGAAAAAGGAATTCGGGGAGGAATCTCAATGATCTCAAATCGCTTTGCACGGCCAATTTATCCATACATAGATAAAAGTTATGATGAATCAAAGACAACGAAATACGCCAGCTATCCCGATGCAAACAATCTTTATGAGGGGGTAATGTGTCAGCCTCTTCATGTTAGAAATTTCAAGTGGATGCAGCTATGATGCCCAGCTGAAGGCTTGATTGACTTTGAAAACTGGAGAGAAACTCCTTGTATTCTTGAGGTGGAACTTGAGTATTCAAAAGAGCTTCATGACGATCTTAACGACTATCCACTTGTCCTTGAGAGACTGAGGATCAATGGGGTAAAAAAACTGATTCCAAATCTGAATGATAAGAAGAGATAAGTAGTTAATCACAAGACACTAAAACAGTGTCTCGATCTCGGTTTGAAGATTAAGAAGATTCATAGGGGTATAAGCTTGAAGGAAGAGCCTTGACTGAGGATATACATTGACTTAAACTCGAGTCTGCGCGCAAATGCAAAAAATGAAATTGAGAAAGAGTCTTTCTAGTTGATGAACAATACAGTCTTCGGAAAAACTATGGAAAACATCAGGAATCGAGTAGATATGAGATTAGTCAATGATAGAAAGATTGCATTGAAACTTGCAGCGAAACGAAACTTTAAGCATCGGTCGATTTTCAATAAAGATTTGGCGATTCATGTGAAGAAGACAAAACTTAATTTCGATACGCCGGTCTATTGTGGAATGAGCATCATCGATATCAGCAAGACTCTGGTGTATGACTTCTATTTTAGCTACATCATGAAGAAGTATGGAGATTGTGTAAAGCTTCTCCTCGCAGACACTGACAGCTTGATGTATGAGGTTGAAACCGAAGAACTGTACAAGAATACAAGCGGTGATGTTGAAGATAAGTTCGACACAAGTAAATACCCTCATGTGTCAGGGATCCCAAGTGGAAAAATAAGAAGGTCGTGGGAATGATGAAGAATGAAGCTGGTGGAAAGATCATTAGAGAGTTTGTTGGAATGAGAGCAAACATCTACAGCTACAAGATGTTTGAGGGATAAAAAGAGAAAAAGTTCAAAGGGATTAAGATGACTGTAATAATAAAAGGGGATAACTCACGAAGACTATAAGGAGAGCCTATCCAGCGAAGAAATACAAACGAGGAAAATGAATGTAATCAGATCACATAGGCATAAAGTATTCACTAATCAACAAGATAACTTTTAGTGCGAACGATGAAGAATAATACGAGAAGTTAAAATAGCAACTTTTGCTCATGGTTATTATCAATAAAAAAAATGAATCCTGATAATATCCTCTTCAATGCATCAATAGTTGGACCTACGAAATTCAGGAAAGACAAGATACTTGGTCAATCTCTTGAGCACCACCTTCCGAGGAAAGTTTGACTACATCGTTCTCCTCTGTCCAACATTCATCCACAACAAATGAGAAGGACTTACTTATCTTATGTGTACAGGGGAACTGGTACACTGATCATTCTCGATGACTGCGCTGCTTCGAGAGACGTGAAGCAGGGGAGGAATGGACCCGTGAATGCAGCATTCAGCGCAAGACATAGGGAAACAGCGTTTGAGTCCTCATACAAAAGATGACAAGTATCACAAAGCCATTCCGAGAGAACACTGCTGTATCAGTTCTCTTTTACACAACATCAGCCAAGGATACGAAGATCATTTTCGAGGATTACGCGGGTGAGTTGATGAATGATAAAAAGAAAGAATTGATGGCAAAGCTAAAAAGTGATAAGTATTCTCATGTCATATTCTCACTTCCTCATCCTTATTACATTGATCTTGAACTTCCGTGGAAATATTTCTATCTCTCAATTAAAATGGAGATGACTGACAATAAAAAAGACGCTTTTAATGATGTTCGGAACATTCTCGAGATTGAACCCTTCAGTGATTCACGACATCGAGAAAGATTCGCTGTTCTCGTTGCAAGTGGCAAAGAGAAGAAAATGATTGGTGTATCTGAGGATCAAGTCAAGAAACTTACTGAGCAAGATGTTGAGAAGTACTTTGAGAGATATGAAGCTTTATTGTCCTCAAAGACTTGCGATGCAATTGTTGATACATTTCTTCAGCTTTCATTTAAAGCATTAGCTCATTTTCTCTCTGTTGGTAAAAGAAAACTTCTGAAGGACTTGAATGATAAATTTATGGCAACTAGAGAACTCGGAATTCTTGCCAGTGGATTGAGTCTCAGGTATGGAGAGTACATGGCAATCACAAGTGTTGCTCTTCTCACTGTCAAAAATATTGAAGTACCCTTGGTCAACGATAAGGAAATAGATACATTTGTGAAGAAACTGATTAAGTTCTTATCAAGTACTTGATAAGAACTGGTGCAAGTACTTAATAAGAACTTGTGTAAGTACTAGAATAACTTTTTGAAAGAGAACTTGTGTAAGTACTTAATAAGAAGTTAAAATTATGCATCAACAAATATAATGGATGGCAAAGAACCTAAGACTGAAGAAGCTCCGGTTAACCTCAGCCGGACCTCGTAGAGGCTCAACAGGTGACTTCAACTGATAAAAATAATACAAAATGAAATAAAGAGTCAGGGCTTGTCGCAGCTGGCAAAAACCTTGCTGAAAGCAACAGAAGAGTGAGAGAGGTAAAGAAAAAGAAAGATGTTTGAAAGCAATCCGAAGTTCCGAAGGATCTAGGTCCCAGAGGGGGAGGATTGCAACTAGAACCAGAACCGGAGGCCTTCGGCCAGGCGCCGAAGGGGCAACCATCATCATTCTCACTCACTCAAATTCTTTAATTCTTTTTGATGGCGCTCCACTCCCCGGCCAAAGGCTTGGCTCTCGTTAATCAACCACAACCAAAACCATAGCGAAGTGAAACGCAGCAAAACACACACACACAGATTGCCTCTTCGAGGCCCGGCCCTAAAGGGCTGCATGTAAGAGTAAAACAAATGGATTGATTTTTTCAGTTCAACAACAACAAATGTCTGATAATAAGCTTGTGAAAGCATTGACCGATTCAGCTCAAAGAAAGTTGTCAAGAACTAAAAAAAACGGTGGTCCGGGCTTGACCCAAAACACATTTTTATCCTCTGTTTTGGATTATCCCAGAACTGTCATTTCCTTTCTCTCATTGTCTCTCTTAGAAAAATAATTAATTATGTGTATTCACGCATTTTTTCATATGCTACATCAGCAAAACATAAAACAGGCGAGTACCAGCATGATGCTTGAAGGATTCCTTTCTGAAATGAGGCGAAGATCCAAAATCCGAGGCAAAAAAAAGGTTCCACTGCAATCTGTTGCAAAAGAACAATCTGTAAACCCGTTGAGATACTGCTTTGAGTCCGAACTTCGGGCATAAGTATTTCCAAAATCCACCAATCCGTAGAACTGTACCTCTCCTTCAGTTATAGCCCTGAAACTATGATTTAGGTTTATAAGTTGTGCTCTCGGGGCAAGGAAACAACGTTAGCGAGGTATCAGTTCTAAATAATCTTTTTATCTTTTCCTATTAGACTGGAAGTCGTGGTTTACTTGGCCGATCGAGATTTCTACACTAACAAAACGGAAATATAACTTCTTTTAAGCGGCTATTCAATAGTATCTACTCGAGGACACATTTCTAACACTGTTTTTTTTTTGTCTTTTAACTTTCACAGTTACCGTTTCAAAGGAAACTTATTGACGTGTCGTTGTTGAGCAAGTCGCAGGTAACTGTCAAAGATTAAAAAATGTTCAGACTAAACTGATGATCATTGTCTTGTTCCAATAACCAGTTTGGCCCGTACGCTTTTTTGACGAGGTTTACTACTGGCATTTCTTGTTCTGTTACAGGTCGACTGGTTAAATAAGTATCATGAAAGGACAAGAGAAGTTATAGGAGCGGAGCTCAGAAGACGGAAAAGGGAAATGGCTTTGAAGTGGCTCATGAAAGAAACGGAGCCGCTGAAATAAATATTCCTCATAGTTTTACTTAAAGCCGGTGTCTTTGTGATTTCTATAATATAGCGATACGCTATAAACATCACTTTTGTTTTCCAGTTTGTATGTTTGTTTATTTTTTAAACAAATAATCAAAAATGAAATGGGTGGAGTCACAGAGTTTCACAAGATTGACAAAAAAGTGAAAAAAAAAGGGCCTCTTTGATAGAAAAACCCCAAGGGGGGATTTTCATCCTTTTTGTAAGGAAAAAGATATATATAGTAAATACCTGTATATTTTTGCTTGTGCATTTACACTGAGGTGTGGGCTCTTCATTGAGGTAAACGCAAACTTGACATGAGAGGACGAGGTGGATGGCACTCTCTTGGATATTCTGGTATCAACAGTCGATGTTATTGTCAGTTGCACCTGATAAAAATAAAAAACGTAAAAAAACGAAAAGGAAAGAAAATTGTCACGCTGAAGCAAAGTCACTAGAATTTATTTTGTTCACAAGTCCCGCAGGTTATTTGCTCGTGACATTATTAACGATGCCGTTACAGGAAATGTAATGATTTGCATATAGCAATGGCAACACAACATTCCACGCATGCCCTCTAAGACGTCTGGTGAATGTCTTCCAACAGCTCGAACAGTCAACCACGGTAGCCGTGTTAACTGTCTTACCGTAATCTAGGGTATTTGCCTCATTTTGTGTTCACCAAAGTTTGTGATCTACTTCCGTCATCACTTCTCTCGACTCCCACGGACGTTCATCTAGGGTTTGTTCGACATCTACGCCATGATTAGATTATACTTAATAGAAATAACAACACGAGGAGTACTTAACTTTGCCATTAGAAAGCAGGGAAGCTCCCTACATCTGTAACTCGTGCGGTATTTACTGAATTTACGGCACAGACACCTTACTGCACCAACTAACAGAGCTCTCCTTTGCTCCGCTCGTGGAGCTAACGGCCGCTTTCAGCGGCTAACTTACAGGGTAAAGTTTGTCAACAAGCCATTGCAAACCAGAAATCGCATCATATCAGCTGTGCTCCGTTATGAACTCCTTAAGGCGATTGTCTAGAAAGTGAACTTGTCAAAAACTTTAACTTAGCTTTTCGGTTTAGTTTAAAAAAAATGCACCAGCTACTCCATAGGCATGCCACGATAACAAATAAATAACTGGATAAGTACATAAATATGTAGATAGAAAAAGAGATGAAATATTAATCAGATAATACAAGTAAAACTATGTAAAACAGAAGTGAGAATATTTACGATATAATTAAAACTATTTACAATTAAAAATGTTGTCATTTATGAAAAAAAAAAAAGCTTTGACAGAAAAGCGCGATTCATGGATACTAAGAAGTATAATTCATTTTCTAAAAGTTTTATACAAATCTTAGAGTCGGATGATGCTCTGAATGGAACCGGATGGGGTTTTCTGAAATAGTTCTAGTCTTGGTCTGATGATGGATCACAGCCTCGTGTTTTGGTGGGACCTTAAGTAACTTTCCAACCAATGATATGAATGTCCAATATGATGCTCTTGCACAATGACGATGCAAATGAAGATCGTAAATATTAAGCCCGGTGAATTAAAGATTATTGTATTTAGTAAATGATACAGGCACAGTCGGAGTAAAAAAAGGACCCCTGAGTCCTCTGAATAAGATTCGACCCATAACCTTCCAATTGGTACTTTAAATGATCCACCACTGAGGTTTAGGACACATGTGGAAGCATAGCTGTTTAAATACGCCCATGGAGACAAACTTCCAGCGTACTGTCAGGACAAGAATGTCCAATATGATGATGATGATATTTGCCCAATGATGATGTACGTGGAGATCGTAAATGTTGAGCCTGGCGATTCAAGTGAAAGATGATGTATTCGGTCAGCGACAAATCGAAACTCACACTCGAACCAATGGCCTTCCAATCAGTTCTTCATATGAGCTACCATTAGGCCAAAGTACTCTCATGCCAGGTGTAGCCGATTAACTAAGTTTATGGACACAAATTTGTTGGATACTGCTGGGACAGGCATGTCGGCATTTATTTCGCTTTTTCGATTTAGATTTTTAGAACATTTTTTCATTTCAATATTTTCGATTTTCATCTTCCGAGGATCAAAAAAATCAAAATGCCTCCACCAATTCCTTCAGGACGCAGCTCAGTTCTAGGAGAAGTATCTGAAGCTCTTCCCTGACGAATCCAAGCTTTGGTCCATTTTTCAGTTAATACAGAACTGGCTCTACCTCATTCACAATTGATCCATCGATGTTAAAGACCCTCAGAGGCCAGACCGGATCAGTGGGTCTTCTCTTTCCACCACCAGTCGGTGAGAAGGTAATATTTAACACCCTCAAGTTCTTTGTTCATGATGTTTAACTGTGCATCTGCGAGGATGAAGATGTGACAACTCACATTCCCTGAACCTGATGCATTTTGGTGAATTGTGAGCTGAACTTTTTCTTTTTCCCCCCGCTTATTTCGTTTCTGAACCATGAAGATCATTACCTGTCGTGCTGCTGACATCTATAAAGATACCGCATCTACCTCCTGCATAGAAGTCAGTTTTATTCATTAAGCTTTTCTCATGAATCTTCTCCACACTACTTCCTACATATCTCTTACTTTCATCTCCAGGCTGTACACACCCAAGGTTATTTATACATCAGCGATGTTAGGATTTAATGTCTTCTCGCTGTTTCTCGCTCCTGCTGCGTATGGGTCGTAGAAGAGGAGAAGAATTACTTTTATGACCTTCTTGGAAAATTAATGCTCTGATTGATGATTGAGTCATTTCTTTTGAAATTGAGATTGTTTCCACACGAGGTACATACTCTTACATATACCCATCAATTCAAATAGTGTGATCCTGAATCTCTTCATACTCAAGTTGGATGTTACGGGTCCGTTTATAGCTGAGCTTTACCGAATCAGGTTCCTTCACAACATTATTTGCAGCTGTAATTGTTTCCACGCACTTGAGCCAGTTTGATCTCATTCGTAACACCTGAAGTCATCTTGTCTCCAAGATTACATTTACTCTTTGAAAGATCTTCAGACTGGATCACTTCCAAGAAAAATGAAGGCGGTAAGTGAGCAAATCAATCAATCCAAATTTAGCAAAGAGGACATCGCACGCTCTCAAAGCAGATCATACGGTTCGTCAAGTCACATTTAATCGAGACAGTGCAAAACCGGGTAAAAATTCTGATTGTACCCGTTCCAAAGCTTGATGAAGGAGTACTCATTGTGTAATAATCTCTTGCATTAGTCTTTGATCTGACAGTAAGTAGGCATGGAAACAATTTCCACATAGACAATGTATCGAGAGCTCTTGTTGAACGATTTACAGCGAAATACGTACGAGAAATTTTGCAAGATACCGCTAGCTACGATCTATTTGAGCTCTAGAAAGACCTTCTCTTTACTGAGCACGAGAGAGCGAACATGTCGAAAGAAGATGTTATATTAAAAGATTCAAAATCGCAGAATTTGGCGAAGAAGATCGTATGCTTGATAAACAAGGAAATGCAAATGATGGATATGATGATAATGATGATGGAGATACAACAACACCTTTTAAAGCTGAGTATAGTTCTACCCCAGGATTATCCGGAGAACAGATTGAAATAGCAACAATGAATAGAGATGAAGAAAAAGGGTAAAAAACTGCTCAAACATCTTTCATTGAGGGCAATTCACTTGAAAAATCAAGGATAACAACGGCCCCAATAACACTTGAGCATATTTATGATGGATATGGTAAAAACGGAAGGGTTATTACCTTACATATTCCTTCAGAAGGAAGATAAAAAAGGAAAGTTGTTAATTATGGTCCTCTAGGTGGAACGTCCCCCCTTATTTACATTACAAGAAGACATATATCCAGATCCTCCGAAAGCAACAAAGAAAGATTCAGGTGAAACAAAAGAACAGATGTATGCTAAGAAAGGTAAAAAAGTTGAAAAGAAACAGGCGACTCTTCAAGAAGATTACAGGATTGTCGATGATGAGAATAAAGACCTAGCTATAAGATTAGGAGCAAGAGAAAGGTTAACTGAAAATAGACAACAGCTTGATGATCTTTAGAATGAGAGAGAAGAACTCGAAGAGGGCTCTCCACTCACGGAGAGAGAGAGAGAGAGAGAGAGAGAGAGAGAGAGAGAGA